TATTATGTCATCAGAGTTTTATGAAAGAATTTTAATTGATGAAGTTGTAATTGATTGTCCTGTGGCATTGGAAGTGAAATAAGAGATGTATTACAGTCGTGATATTACGTTGACAGGTTACTAGACTATGGGGTTCCTTTACAAAAGAGGTGTATGCTACAATTTTCACGCTTGACAGGCGGGTTAGGCAAATCAAGATAAATATCACAGCGCTGCTGCCTTTTTCTATCAATATAGAACATACTTTTTAAAAAGAGTAACGAATGGAGTTTCTTGCTCGTTCTTCTCCATTCGAATCTACATTTTGGAATGAGCACCTAGCTTCACCTAGTTTCACTGACGGACTGACTGACAGACTATTATTTATTTTGTATTTGTTGACGTTTCAAAAGTACCAAACTGGTTTAATTGAAATAAATGCTTGGATTTTGAATATATGGTCTTTTAGAAGACTCCTTCGATACCCGCGGGAAGAGAAGGAGATGTGATAATTGTACTCTACTCTCCCTCTCCTTCACGGACTTGGCAATTAAAGCATTGGAATGAAAACTGCAATCAACATTTACAATTATGGGTTCGCATTTATGGTGGGTGACGCAAAAATAGCTTGCAATACGCGAAATGTGTGTAAGCAGAATTGATACGATAACAACTATTAACCTAATTCCAGTGGGTATATTAATCGCAGTTATCTACAGTTTTAATATAGAAACCGGACTGCATGCATTACTCATTGCAGATAGTTCGAAATAAATACTACGACTTCCATTTCTGATAGGGATTTTGATTTGATTTGCTGCACTAATTTGATATTTAATTCCATATTTATTACGTTCGTAAATCGCAGAACTGCATTATTTACAAAATAATACATATTTTCACATGTTTTCTTTTTAATATTTCTATTCTAATGGAGAAACTGTGTTTTATATCCATGAAGAAAACGCCATGGAGTATTTTATTACCATAATAAGTTAAAAATCTTTTAAAATGTTAGTTAAAAAGGTCTAATATACTGGTAACTTTAGAACAACTGCAAAAAAATTAAATAATTGTTTTTCTCGTGTTTATATGAAAGAATTATCTATGTTATCGGACAAGTTTGGAAATAGCAGTGGCAAGCCGAAGTGGTCCACTAATTCATTATTATTATTATTTGATTATACGATTCAGTATTGAACCCACAGCATTTCTGACAAGTCGCCACTGAATTACATGTAAACAACCGACTCGAATGAGTCACAATCTTGATTGATCGTCTGCCATCATGGTTGTGGCATTCTCAACCTTATTGCTTAGGGAACAAAGGTGATAAGTGACTGAATGTTGTATTTATTTAACAGTGATGACATTGCGATATATTTATCTAATATTTTATTTGTGTTGTGGAGACACATTATTATTGTATGAATATTGCATTGTATTGAGTAAGGCGTAAAAGTTATAGATAGTAGTAGTAGTAGAAAACAGTGTATAATTTGTTGATATGTCAAATATAAAAGAATGGATGAAATAAATGTTAAGGTAAACTTCAGTTATTTTGAATAAGGGTACACAGAAAGTCAATATAACGCTTCGATTTTTAGAATATAATAATTATAAAAATAGTACCTACAAAACAAAAATAGACCTATTGTATCAGCAAAGAGCAAAGTAACAAATATGTTGACTTGAAAATGAGACACTGTTAAACCATGATACTATTTTCCTTCTAAAATAGTTTCTTCAACTTAAAATAAAATAAACTCCAGAACAGTTCAATAAATAGATACGTCATTCCATTGACTTGATGCAAAATAATATATACCAGTAATCACAACTTCGCTATTCAATTCATCAATCAAATTCGTAATAAGGAAAATCCTTGGCATAAAATTAGACTAAAGTGAATTGTTTATGAACCTATACAACTTGTATGAAATCAAAAATGTAGGTGCTATATTCGGTTAGGGAAATAATAGCATTGTAAATGACTACATGCAATGCATGTTTCAGTTGTAATAACTTCCTATTTTGCATAAAACTTGGTTGCAAATAATGACCAGGCAATCACAAGATAATATCATAATTAAGTAATAAATGTAATTAAAAGCAGAAACTTACAAAAACTTTAAAAACTATTCTAGGAAAGAAACTCATGCACGCTACACACCACACAATTAAACTGGTATGTTGAACTGTACAGTTAAATCATAGGTACACACCTTATGGCTGTATGGACTTACGATTAGATAGTATAGTTGGACTGTACAGTAAAAATGGAAGGTGTGTAGCCTGCATTACAATAATATGACTAACAAGTATGCCCTAAATACTCCTGACCACCCAACCTATTCCACATACAGGCATGACACTATCTTGTTTACATTAGAAGTTAGAAGTTTAATAAAGTGACTTACTTCAGGAGAGTCGAACGGGTACTTGTTTGTGAATTTAAACTGCAATACAAATTTTTCGCCTTCATATAGAGTGCCGGGAACGCCTTCCATGTGTACTGTCCACCTGATGAACAAAGAGAACTTGATTTAGAATGGCACTACTGATACAGATTATTAAATAGATTATTTGAGTATTAGATTCAGGCATTTGTAGAGACAACGAGATCTTAAGATGGAACAATATTTAACAAAATATGAATAATAAAGATAAAAATGTACTTTGCAGCGGCAGAACACTGAGCTGATTAATAATGATTTAAAAGTAGTTTCCAGTTGAAGATTAAATTACTAAAATCATAGATTCTGTAGTACGTTTTTCTGCAGTGATGCCCAACTTTCCTCATTAAAACAATAGTTTGGCATTGGCAACATATTTGGCGCCTTCAATCTTCTAGAACTACTTATTTTCCTTCCTTATACACTGCAGTGATACCAGACATAATATTGATTTACTACTAGAACTGGCAAATTTTTAAGTGATAAACAAACATAACTTACTTATTCTATGTATGTTAATTAAATATTTTTAGTGTTAGTATGATAATTTATAGTAATTTTTAACAAACTTTAAAATTGTGCAAATGATTTTAATATTGTCTGTAAACTTAGGGAATGTTAGATTTAGTATTATAGTCTGCTGAAAAATATAACTAGCTGTATATTAAACTGTCTAATGATAGAATATTGATCCCTTTTGCCTCAAATTTAACTCAACAAAAGACACCATATTTAATGTAGATAGGTTTTGAGATTGACTTCTAGTGGTTTCTGCTGCCAGGATAAAAACATTTATTTAATCAATCAATCAGTCATTTTATCACATTACTTAAACATCATTAAACACAAGACTTGACTATCAATGGGTATTTATTTATAGTTTATAAACTGACATATATGATAAGTATATACTACATGGTGAGTGATGCCGTACACTGGGTCATGAATAAATAACATCACCTAATATAACATAAATATTGCAAAATAACATCAGCAGAGAACCAAGGTTTTACACCAGCATGTTACATAATAAATAATAGCTACTGTGTACTCAGCTGTTAGCACAATGGCAAAAAACTGTTTATTCATACATTTTATAATCTGATTATACATTCTTTATTATAAGGACATATTTAACTTATTTTAACTGGATTTAATTATTTTTTTTACTTTTTTTATCAAACAAAATCTTCTATTTATAAGTATTTATTCGAATAAATAGGTAGTTGCTATTTATAACAATGTTTACACAAATTAAATGTTGTTTTGGCACCACTAATTTTTCATAGTAGGTGAACAAACAAAGACACCAAGAACCTAATTTCAAAGTCATAATTATAAATATAATCAACAAAATGTAAATAGATTTAAATCGATCAATGTTCATGTACCTCCATATACCGAACTTATTTTTATAACTGCTGGATCTGACAACAATGGTTAGTTAGACAGTGTATAGTTATACGTATCTACAGTGTACTAGTAATCAGCTGTTCTACTCACAGTGTTAGATTTTGGCTGGCCTGATCTCCGTCTACGGTGACTCCTGGTGGCGGTTCCTTCATCAGGGACATAAGTTCTTTCTGTAATCTCCGCTAAAAAGAGATATTTACATTTTTATTTTATACACGATAGCCACATGTGTACTGCGTATTTTTCCAGGAGTCTAGCCCTCGTTTACGAAGAAATTTGTTTATTTGTGCAACTTTCAACGATAAACTTGAATTATCTTCAATACAATAAAAATTCTGACAAAATTCTAATACCAAAACTGTCACAATACGGCCCATATTAGTATTATAATTTATTTGCTATTTATGCGACAGTTTTGATACTGGGTTAAGAAAGACTTAAATTACATAAAATTTGAACAAAAATTGTGTTTCGTTATGGGTAATATTTTAATTATTTTTTACTTACCTCAGACGGGGACATAGCCGCCATTGTAATCCAATTAGACGTTTGATGTTACTAGTTGAAAAATTTAACTCTATAGTCTTTAACTTTACCCGATCATAGTTTTTCTTATTTCCGAAAATAATTTTACTTTCATAAATAATTTGTTTAGAACAATAATTACATAGAAATTGATTTGAATGGGTCAGAAAGGAATTCAAAGTTACGTTATTTTGCTACCTTGTTTACCTTGTTATTCAGACTTCTGTTTCATATGGCAACACAGAAAAATACCGTCAAATTATGCGTTCGGATATTGTTGTTAAAATCGACTAAAATGTATTAGTGTATACATCTCTAAAAATGCTCTATGGAATGAAATATGTCAGTTCTTTAAATGTCAAGCCAAGCAGTCATTCAAACTGTCAAATACTTTTTTACCTGTTATTCATTCGGCCGTGTAAAATAGTTTGTTGTTTGCAAATTATGCATTTGTGAAATGGAAATAAAGGTGCACAATATCGTGCTGCAGCTTAATAAAAATAGTACTCACCATCTGCGTTGACTGAAGCAGTATACTTACAGTGTTATAAATGTGAAATGCTATTGTTTTTAGTGTTGTAGTGTTCTACTTTCAAGTGGAATTTAGCTGGATTTTGAGCGGGCACTATGGGTTCGTACAGCAAAAAGTCCTCGGCTGAGTGGATAATAGACCAGCTCAATGTGGAAAATGCGAAGCTTTTAGCATTTGTCCTGGTCATAGGATTTATTGGCTACCATGGAGTTCTACATCTAAAATATGGTGAATGTTATGTTTTATTTGTTTTATATAATTAATTTTATTCTCTTATCATAATATCGAATTTGTTTTATACAAGTTATGCACATTAGAATTTGAAGAGTTTATATTTTGTACAATATCAGTCACAATTTGTATGGAAAGTTTATTCAAGGTTTTTTATGTTTGTATTTAATCATAATTATTATAACACCTGTCTTCAGGATCAGACTCCTGCACTTGGCTACTGACTGCGGGAAGATACAAAGGAGATCATGAGTGGCAACCTTACGGCTGTATGTTACACAAGTACTCCAAAACGTAAGTTCATAGATTTTTTATATAATATTGATTTAGTAATTGGTAATTTATGAATTAGGAGGAATGTAGTATGATTAATATTTTTGTGACTTAAAGTTGTCTAAATAGATTCTTATAAGTGCTTGTATTATTTAACCTTACAAACTTGTAAGTATCTGTGTAACTTCCTAATTACTGAATTGGCCACAAATAAAATAAATAAAGTAAACACAAAAATTTTACTGAAGTCTTCAATACTGTATTTTCCCACAACATTGTACACACGGCCACACATCAATCTATACCAAACCTGGTGTCGCGCCGCATCATCTTTCCGCACATTTAACATTCAGTTTATACTGGTTATGTAAAGCTCGATGTGTAGCCATGTGTACCATTCATACATACAGACCTCTATAGAAAATAAAGAAGTACCTAGTTGGAATAAGGATGTGGACAAAGTATGTAATGGTGAGGCTACATTTGCAGGCTACAGCAAATATTCGGGCTATGGCAATGTACGTGGCCGGGTACATCGTTGCAACATGATGTATTTGCATGTAGACGGTGTAGGTAAATTAATGCATTACGAAGGAGTTGTGGCGACAATATTCGCTGTAGTTGCCACACCAACGTCACTTCAAAGGCATCGAGACTTTGAAGGACGATTGACTTTGAAGCACCATGGGTTCGGCCGCACAACTAAACAACAAATGTTTGCCTTAGAAATCTTCGCTCGCTAATGCAGACAAGAACATCATTTACGTCCTAAATCGGGTGTTTTGCGCGCCAACGCGATACGAATCTTCGCCCGCCTATGTAGCTCCCGCATAAAAGATACATCAAGCTAATGAAAAAGTATACCAACATGTGGTAGTAATATTCAAAAGTTGTGTGCATGATTCCTAACTTTATCCGTATCATCATACATACTTAGCATTTTTTATGTAGATTACAAATATGGTAACAATAACAAATAGGTACCTTTACAATGATTCATATAGATATATGAAGTGCCTTGATAGTGTGTAGTGAATCAGTTTGATGGAAAGTTAAGTTAACTAATATCGATCGAAAATGTAGGTCATTATCACTATAAATTACAATAATGACAATAATTACTTAAAATAGGAATTGTATCTACTGGTGTTCCATAGTCTCTGCCTGCCTCCATGGGACATAGGCGTGAGGTTTTGTTTGATTTATGTAGTAGTGTGATGTATTTAGTTATATTTATTTATATATTTATTTACTAGCTGTGCCCGCGACTTCGTTCGCGTGGAATAGTGACTATGAGCAGCGTTTTTTTTAAATATATACTTATTTTTATTTTGGATCATAATCACAGTAATTTTGTATGTATAAGCATAGAATAGTGTTCGACGTGATTCTTTAATTTGACATAATTTTTTTATTTATGAACCGATTGACATGAAACAAACACTAAAGCATAACTGAAGCATACCACAATATATTCGTGAAAACCGCATCCAACTCGGATCAGCCGTTTCTGAGATTAGCGTGAACAGACAAACAGACAAACAGACAAAAAAAAAGTTAATTACATTTTTGGGTTCAACATCGACATAACAATAACCCCTGCTATTTTTTTATTTTTATTTTCAATGTACAGACAGCACTTTTCTACAATTTTATTATATGTATAGAATAGAAGATATAGATAGAATAGAAGATATAGATAGATATAGATTTATATGTATGTAATTATTTATAATTTATTATTTAATGTTATAAATAATATATGTGCAAGCAGTGTGTGTGTGTCAGAAAATAACAATGAATATGTATATTATAATCTATGAAATAAATACTAATTAACTTGTCGAGTACCGGTTTTATAGACACAATTAAAGAACAATAGGTCGCGGTCACCGGTGACCGCTTGGTGTTTGACAGTTTAATTATGATATTTATTAAAAATTTTATATATTATAATTATATCAAAACTCTGCCTGATGCCTGACTGCCTCGATGGCCGAGTGGTCGCAAATGCGACTGCCAGGCAAGTCTCGAGTTCGATTCACGGGTCGGGCAAAGCATTATTGGGATTTAAAAAAAAATCTCAGTAGCAGCACGGAGTCTGGAAATGTGCCCGGTATATGGCAATAGGCTCACCCCCTATTACATGGGACTCATAACATAAATACTGAAAAGTGGGTGTTACTTCTGTGTGTACCTCTGCCTACCCCTTCGGAGATAAAAGGCGTGATGTTATGTTTATATTGAAAATTATTTAATTATTACACATACAGTTAAGATTCGGATAGTTCCTTAGTTAAATAGTCAGAAATGATGAGTACTACTAACTTATAAAGGATTTAGGTCGACTAAACCAGTAACCCTGTAACAGCAGTACCCCTTCGAATAAATAAATAATTGCATAATTACCTCTTGCACTTACTGAACACAAGGATGTGCAATGTTCTTAATTACAAGTAATTATAGTCAAGGGGTCACTTAATTAGTGTTAAAAAGGTCAGCTGTATGTGATAGGGTCCATTATTAATTCTTCTTGTCATGAAACTATTACGATATTACATAAAAATTATGACACTTGTAAATTAACTAGTTAAAGGATAACAAGCTCTATACAATATAGAGCATAGACTATACATAAGTGTCTTTTTATCCCAGGTAGTCAAAAAGCAAGTGGCTGATGAGTCATGTATCGCGGGTTGGATTCCCACACGGAATAATTCTACGATCTACTCACATACAATGCTACAGAAGGCTTTTTCAAAAATAATTAGAACTGGCTAAACACACATAAAACAAAATATGCTACAATCTACATGAAAACAATAACGTTACAGTTATCGGTTGTTATCGTGGTCTACAAAATGTCTAGTAGCAATCAGTAGTACTTTAGCTTCAACAAGTATGTTGTTTGTAGTACCTAAAACAATGAACACCATAGCTGATTGTTTCCCTTCGATTTCCTATTGCCCTTGACCTTGGCCACTTTGACAATGAATAATTTGTACAACTACCGCGTTGCTCAAGTCATAAGCGCGGCAGCCGATAATTATAATTAGATTTATAGGTGAATTCCTTCGGGAAAAATACGTACCTAATAATGTTTTAACTAGTTTTATCGATGGTGAAGTCTTCAATAATATGTATTTTATTATGGAATTTGGTAATTTTAATCCCAGCTTTGTAATAAGCTCGGAATAAAATGAGGGGAGAAAATACCAACTTGTAGAATTAAGTCCACTATCGCCCGAATACTGAAAGTCTACTCTAATTTTAAGTCGCACTTAAGTTTAGTTCTGTTACTACAAATTCTTTGTAAAATGACAGATTTTTTTTTTTTAAGGGGGAAAATCATCAAATTACTTATTATATTTCAGTGCAACTTAAAATTGCCTTTTACTATATGGGCGTATATTTACAAATAAATAAATATTTTTACAACAACTATCGTGAGACATACTAGATTAACTAAACTCACGATGTCGCGCAGCCTACTCAATCATCGCCGCGACCGCACACTTATGAGGAAGAACCCCTCTGTTGTTCGAAACTAGTAGAGCTTTTCTCGGTATATTCACGTTAGTAACCCGCGATTTTTAGTTAATAAATTAAATAAATTTTGTAGTTATAGAGTTTATGAAGTACATACATTCGAAAGCTAATATTTAGTTGCCGTTTATATTTAACATGTCTTATTTACAATGTTGCAGTGACGCGAGGCGATGTTTCCGGTACCTTGCGTTCTGGGGCAAGTACAACAGTTTCGCGTTCATTGGCGACTCCCGGCTCGAACAGCTCTACGAATATTTTATAAGTAAGTTTATTATGAATGTGTTTTCATTAATTACTTAATCTCTTGTCATAACAAAACTTTCGTTTATAGCACAAAATTCATTAGTATGGGCTCCCAATGTGGCTTGAAAGTAGTTGAGCTACTTTTTAAAACAGTTAAATGAGTGAGCCGTAAGATATAACTAATTTAATGTAAATACGAGACTTTTTTTTTTTTTTTTTTGGGGAAAATCATCGAATGGCGCCGTAGCGTCTCTCAAGCCACTCCTCAAAGAGGGGTCTTACCGCTGCAATGGCAGCGAGCCCAAAATACGAGACTTACAATGTGGTTGTAACGTGTTTTCATTAACCACTCGTATTTATTTTCAGGCGTGGTCCGTACTCGACTGGACCTCGACTCGTCATACTCGACGGTGGAGCATCGCATGCCGAACTATACGTACGTGGACAACAAGCTGCGTCTGTCCGTCACCTTCATATACAGCGACGATGTCTCCAAGACCATGGTCGACCAGTTCCGTACATGGTGAGCATTTGTTAGATATTGTGAGTTTTTGAAGCTAAATATTGGTCTTTAAAGATAAGTGGGTATTTAATAATATCATTGTTCATGCTGTTTATTTCATTGATTTATGGAGAAGCCTCATTAAATTCGAGTTGACTGAGGTTCATGTTTGTAAATCCGGTGATATGGTGAAATCTAGTTCTTAATTCAATATCAAAGTTGTAATTTTTGCATAATTATAAATCTTATGGTCCTATACTTAAACTTCAAATTCAAACAGGCAGCGTTCAGACCAGCCGCCCTCCGTGATCGTAGCGTCTACTGGCCTACAACTGCTCAAAACTCGAAATACAACAGATCTAGTACTAGAAGAATACAAAAGGAACCTTACGCGCTTGGTGCAAGCTATAGATTCGCTTGCAGCACGAAACACACAGGTTCTATGGAAGTTGATTGAGGGAGTGGACGTGAACAAATTGAAGGATGATTATAAAAGGATCAATAACAATGATATTGATTCGTACAACAGAGCTGCTGTAGAGGTGAGTGATTATTTCATAGAATGTATCTTGCGTAACAGAAATTGTGGTTTGCGCAAGTATGAGCAATTTGCGCAAGTATGAACAGTTTGCGCAAATTAAATAAATTTTGTGTAGTTTCGTTTGTGAATGTGTATATGTGTAAAATTTAGGGAGACTAGGGAGGGGGGTAATTGGGCCTCCGATAATCTTACTCACACGACAAAACACATGGATCTCGGGTTCGATTCCCGGGTCGGGCAAAGTATTACTAAGTTTAAAAAAAAATGTACCCGGTATATGGCAATAGGCTTACCCCCTATTACATGGGACTCATAACATAAATAGTGAAAAGTGAGTGTTACTTCTATGTGCAATAAGCCTACCCCTTCGGGGATAAAAGGCGTGATGTTATGTTATGTTAACGTTACAGATTTTCAGATAAAATTTAGTTTTTGCTATAGCATCACACATAAGAAACACAAAAAAATACAGTCACATGAATGAGTTATTTATTTGTCTGTGTGACCAGATCCTGACCCACAGCGCGGCCAAGATCTGGAAGTCAGCCCTGCTGGTGTCTGCGGAGGGCGGCGTGGAGCTGGGCGGCGCGGCGCTGCGGCACTGCGCGCAGTTGTTGCTGAACATGTTCTGCAACGACCACATGAACTACAACGACGGCTCCTGCTGCGCGCAGCCCGAGCCGCATACTCAGCTACAGCTTCTTACCTTCGCTATATTCTTATTATGGTGACTCTTTACTTTGTTCCTTTTTCGCTTTAGCTTTTCTACTTAACCCTTTGAGCACCGCCATTATAGACACAATTAAAGAACAATAGGTTGCGGTCACCGGTGTCCTCGCGGTGTTTGACAGTTTAACCTTATCCAGTAACTTATTACGTAAATTACCTGAACTGAAACAGAAAAGAACAAAAGGATAGATGTGTAATTCGAAGTCTTTTTGGAGTTCAAATTCAATACAAAATCTATAATCTTATACTTGTTAATAGTATTACTCAGATTAGGCATTTATGTAATTTGAAACTATCTACATTGCTTTTATATTATAATTTGCAGCGGAGTACTCTGGGTTGTCCGTGGCGCTTGGGGAGCGTATGAGAGGGCACGGTCTCACCTGCAGGGCTACGCCCCCGTCAGTCAGGCTGCGCCCGTCCCTGTCCCCGCCGCCGCGGGGTCTGATCCCTCTCCCCTCGCCGCAATGGCTCGGCTCGGCCTCATCATGTCTTATTTTTACTTGTGTGACAGAACCAACTTCTTTATGAAGGAAAATAAATATTATTCTGAATGGAGCTTCTGGTTGCCTGTCGGTTATGTGTTCGCGTTGGGATTGTTCTTTACTGAGGACTCCAAGTCTAATACGTAAGTGTGTCTTATCTTTTCTAATTATTGAGTAAAATTATTGTACCGGAATATCGAAGCCACCATCACCATCTAGTTTCTACTTCAAATTCTCTATGACTAAACAAGGAAGAAAAACTTTTTTTATTATTTTTTTTTTTACTTTTTTTAGTGTCCTTCACCGAGAACAGACAGACGAATGGAAAGGTTGGATGCAGCTAGTGATCCTTGTGTACCAAGTGACGGGGGCTAGTAAAGTGCTCCCTATATACATGATGGTCCGTACCCTGGTGTCCGCGTACCTGTTCCTGACAGGGTACGGACATTTCTACTATACATGGAAGACCGGAGACACCGGTCTGGTCAGATACTTCAGGGTCATATTCCGACTGAACTTTCTGACTGTAGTGCTATGTCTGACCATGAACAGACCCTACCAGTTCTATAGTTTTGTGCCGCTCGTGTCTTTCTGGTATACGCTGGTGAGTTTTTTTTGTATTTTCTTTAATTGTTTTTTTTTTGTGTAAACCACTTTTAAAACGCTCTCACGACACAGCGTAAAATCCTACTGGACAAAATTTCAAACTTACACAAAATTTGCACTACTTGCGAAAAATTTGCACTACTTGCGAAATATTTGCACTACTTGCGCAAAATTTGCACTACTTGCGCAAAATTTGCACGACTTGCGCAAAATTTGCTGTACTTGCGCAAACTTATCATAAGTTTGCGCAAGTTTTCTTATCAAAATAAATTCATTTGTTCCTCAGATGTTCGTAATCTTCGCGCTCCCACCTCATATAACGCCGTCATCGAGTCACACGGTGGAGTCGCGTCCCTATCAGTACCTGTACATTGCCATCAAGGTGATAGGTCTACTGGTCATAGTGACCGTACTCTACATGAGCGAGGTGTTCTTCCAGAAGATATTCGTCACCAGGCCCTGGAAGGCACTGTTTGTAAACTCTGATGATGACATCCATCAGTGGTGGCTGCTGTGGAAACAGGATCGGTGAGTAGTGTTTGTATTTATTGAAGGTTCTTTTTATGGGTTATGGCGGTAAACATTAAGAGGGGACGAAAATTAAGTGGTCTTTGTGGCAAAATTTACATTTTTTGATGAATATTCCATGAAGTGTAAAGGAAGGTAGGTTAGTGCTTTTGTGATTTATTTAGCTGAGCATCTTCGTATCCATAGATTTCGATATTTGAATATAAGCAGACGATATGATATTGATTGTGATAGTTTACTTTGGTACTTTCAGGTATTCGATGGCGTACGGTATAATGTTTGCACTGGCGTACTTAGCGGCGCGCTCCGCTGGCGTCCTGGACGAGCGACTCGGCAACCTGTGGGGCACCGGGGCGTCGCTGACGGCGACCCTGCTGGCGCTGGTGGGGCTGGGGTCGTACGTGACGTTCGCGTTCTTGTGCAGCAACGCGTTCGACTGCAACGAGATCCACTCGTACGTGTCGTTCCTGCCGGTGGCGAGCTACGTGTGGCTGCGCAACGCGCGCGCGGGGCTGCGGCGGCGCCACTCGGCGCTGTTCGCGTGGGTGGGCCGCGTGGCGCTGGAGCTGGCGGCGGGCGGCGCGCACGCGCTGGCGGCGGGCGGCGCGCACGCGCTGGGCGCGGCGGAGCGCGCCGGCGTGCTGCTGGTGCTGCCGGGCGCGCCGCGCCTGAGCGTGCTGCTGGCCGCCTTCGTGCTGCTGTGCGCCGCGCACGAGCTGCGCCGCCTCACGGCGCTCATCGCGCCCTACGCCGTGCCCGACGACTGGCGGCTCGTGCTCAGGAACTTCGCCATCTTCCTCGCCGTCCTCGTACCCATCGGCATCCACGACGGCATGTTCTAACAAGGTTTTGTGATTGCAACTAGTTTTGGCTGTGTTTTCCATTATCGCGGTTTTTTAATAGGTACCTAAGTAATTATCGAGCAATATTTATGAGTGAAATTGATTATTTGAATAGTTGTACGACTTTAGCTATTAATTCCTCGCACGAGTGTACCTTAATTATTGAAACGGAAACGAAGAAAATGAAAGAAATATGTACATTATTGACAACATACTAATCACCTATCAATGTTTTAAAATCATAAGAAATTGGAGCAATACAATACTACAAACAATTTCAAGTACATACTATGTAAGTACATACATTGTACACGTAGTATAAAATGTGTAAAACGTATGATATTTGGCAATACCTTCTAAATCGAACTAACCAGTTTATCACAAATGTATATCAAGTTTATGCATTAGAAAATATTTTGTACAATATATATGTAAGTTAGTAACAAAATGTACATATTAGCTTTGTATAAAATCTAGTCTATGAACATAATAAGATTGTGTGAATAAAGTAAGACATTACTGTGTGTGACTTATTATGATTTACTAATAAATGTATGTTTTCTCTAAAATAAATTTAAGAATTTGTTTTCAATAAGGCTTGCTTTTGAGTGGCAATAATAAATTAGGAAAAATTATCTGAACAAACAAAAAGTGATTTGATGAGTGAGTGAATTTATTGAGAGCTCCCAAATGTAAATGTAGGTCTACTGTGTAATGTGCATGCGCCAAATGACGACAGGCAGGTTTAACTGCGCCGCTTTGTGGACAGTTTTTCAAGCATTTGTTATTCGAGGACCGCCTATTGTCGTTTGACGAATGCATGCATTTGTCCAATGACGCGTCGTTGACAGGCCTTTAAACTCATTTTCGGCCGTGAGTTGTTTGGTCATTTTGGGCCCCACGCAACTTGTATATGCCCGATAAAGATACAAAAATAAGTGTGTTATCTATTTTTGTTATTTCAGCACACGTAGTACGGAATTGACCTTTACAAACATACATACTTGGCTTAGTATGTTAAAAGCAATTTAATATATTATTGGTTAATATAAGTATTGTACAAATTGTGTGATATCAATAATTAATGAATGGTGATGTTCGGAACAATTAGTATTATACATGATTTAGTCGATTGCTAGTTGTAAGGTTGCTAAATTAATCTGGATTGAGAAGACTAGCCAGATCATTCTTGGACACTAAATTATGTATCTTTGTAATAAAATTGTGTTTTATAGTTCGGCTCATAATTTGTCTGTTGACTTAATGGTTCCAAGTAGGTACACCCTACCGAGGGTAAGGTTTAGTAAATTAAATATTCAGGTATTTAAACCTAAAATTTGATGGATAAATTAGATGGGCGTCATAATATGTGCAAGAAACCGATTTTTCCGTAATCTTGATGTACGCTTCAAAATGTAAACTAACAAAATAATTATTAATGTGCTTTTTTTATTTTAAAATGTTGCCCTACACTAGGATTTTTTTTCTGTGTCGTTCCGTCACCCAGACGCGGAACATCTGTGGACCACACCGAGTTGTTCCGTGCGGGAATCGAACCCGCGACGCGTTGTACAGCAGCCAGTTGCCCAACCAGTGCGCCAACCGTGCATTTTTAATTCAGTTAGTTACTGAAGGTCCAAATTATGAACCGAAATATAAACAAACAGCTAGCAATAATACTATAGTTTTTGATATATTTAAATATTATGAAAAGCATGTTTCTTGTAAATACACAACTCATACGTTACTCTCCGTGCTATAAACTACATTACTGTAATGTAGATTTTGTTTTTTAAGTTTGTAATCTTTGTATATATTTGTACGATAAATAAATTATTATGATTGCTAAAGAATACGTTCTTTTATTTTCGAAAATTCTCAGTATTGTATTTCAACATACACCGTTTATCAGGACACATTACAGTGTTAACAAGATAACTTTTATCCAGTCAATTTGTATTTACGTCCAGACCACGTACCAGTGGTACAATCCAATGGTTGGACGAGCCGCACCTAAAACCTAGTTTATTTTCAATTTAGACCATAAAATATACCAGGCACATTTATTCTATATATCTTTATATGTATAATTCTGCTGTACGTGTGTATGTGTATGCCATTGAACTCCTCCTTAACGGCTTGACCGATTTAAATGAATTTTTCTGTACGCGTTTGAGTGGCGCCCTGGATGGTTCAGATTCACAAATTAGCCCGGCAGATGGCGCTGCAGTGGCTGTATAGGTTATTTAAACCTTAATATCTTGAAATATCATAATAATATGCAGGACAACGTCTGTCGGGTCCGCTAGTATTTATATAGGTACACCTATAAATGAAACCAGTTTCCTGTTGTCACGCCATAACTTGAGAATGGCTAGACCGATTTGGCAGATTTTTTTTTGTTGTGTTTATTATTGTCAGGAGAAGGGTTATAAGATAGAAAAAAAACCTGAAAATCATACGTGAAAGGGAGAAAACGGGATTGCGCGTACGAAGTCGAGGGCAGAAGCTAGTTAGATATAAAATAAAATAAAGCGGGACATTAAATAAATACACAGATGTAACAAGCAAAATTTTATTTACCTTTATATTTTACATTGTGAATAAAACGTTATTATATTGAATATACACCTTATTTTACGCGTACGGTGTAAACATATTTACATTACTCGCTTAGTGCTACAAACACTTCAATCATTTGAGAACAATACAATTAAGTTAGTTAAGTCATAAGGAATTTAATTATTAAACAAGACACATTTAAACTTTGGTTTTAAGGTAAACCAAGTTGCCACCATTGTTTTAAACGAGAACTTAAAGTTAATTGCATAAGTATTTAAAAACTATTATTAGATATTTCTTTTTGTCCTATAGCGACAGAGGCGTCATTGGTTTAATTTAGACGTCAATATGAACCTTGTGAGCGCTGCTGCACAAGTATTTGTGTGAGAGATACGCTATGGACCTCTGTCCACAGATACCACCTCAGTAAAGTATTCAGTGCCCTTGACGAATTATCACTTCGTAGTACTCATAAGACACTCTTACAAAATTTTAAAAATGTTTTTTCCAGAATTCAGAGAAACTCAAACCGCAATACCGCCTGTTATGTTGCAGTCAAATCAAAAAATCTATAAAGCTGCAAAATGTCTGTTCTGCCTTATTTAATACTTTTGGATGAATGGAATTTATCAATTTAAAGTTTTAAGAAAATGGTTTTATAACGATAATATTTTGAATAAATATTTTAATGCCATATGACGACATCTAAATCGCACTTGAGCTGCACGCTTTCAATCACAGAACTTTATTATACAATTATTTTATATTCTAATTTTATATAGTAACGTATTGCTTATAATAATTGGGTGCTCTCACGATGATACTAATTTTGTTCTTCTATGTTGATTAAATATTAATAATATTTACTATTATGTAGTTTAAATAATCAACAGGCAAATCTTTTTAAGTTTAAAAATTTATAATTTAAAATTAACGTAAAGTCATAATAAGTAGTTTATTATTTCATTGCGTCACTTTTGCCTGTTGGTCAGACGTTCCAAAAATCCTATTTATATCAACTTATTACAATCCTTTTGAGAAAAAGAAATAAAGTTACCATTTTATAAAAACATTGGATTTAATTTATGAAATATTGTAATGTTGTAGTGAAGGTCTAATAGCGAGCTACTGGCCGCGGAGACTTCTTAACAATTAGATGAACTGCAGACGTACACTACCAAGTACTAACTAAGTCGGCCAAATGTCCATATCTACATAATTTCCACAGACTCGAAGGCACGGAAACGTAGATCTCGTAAGATCCCAGGATCTCAAGTAATAAAACTATAGACAGAGTAAAGAAAACACATACACACATCGATCGAGCGAGAAACGAATAAGCGACGTTTTAAGAGTTAAGTTTTTAGAAAATCAGTCTCAATGAACAGGCCATTGTTTTTCATAATTTTTAGTTATACTATTTTACATTTAGACGCGTTCTAGGCTTTGAATACAGTAAGGGCGGGACAATGTTCTACTGATTGAACCTTTTGAACGTTTATGGATATAAATAAATCTATTATGGTATCTTTTTATAAATCCTATGGTACTAAATTCAAATTAACGTCATCTATAACAGTGAAAACGAATTTATTTATAAATGCTAAGGTAGGAGTTTAGGTAAATGTCGTTCAAAAGGTTATTTTTTTAAATATTATACAAAGGACGCATAAATGATTCACTAATTAATTATTGACTGAATTACTTTGATCAAATATGCTTTTTATAAATGGCCACTTAATTTATGAAACTGATGTTGCAGTTAGTTATACGAAATAAGACATTTAGAATTATGTCTCGCTTCTAGGTATTTTCTTATGAAATAACATTAAAATAAAAATATAAACACCGAACACATAGACAGTGACTTACATAGGTATAAAAGATAACTGTATATATTAAATACACGCTTATTACGATACACATTGAAACATAACACAGATGTTTAAGTTTTGTTAGTGCACAAACAATGTCAGTCTTTATACAGTCGAATCACATAAAATTATTGCTGAAACTGTATCTAAGCATCTAAAGTAGTTCACTAATCTAGTGTTAAATTAACGAGACGAAACACAACATCGAACATTAAACGCGTGTGAAAAAGAGAGAAGACTCAAACGATAACAATAAAAATGTTTCATTATGACAAGGACAAAGTAACCCAATAAAAAATTTAATACGTATCTATATCCTATATGGAACGTTTTTAAGCTTTTACATTATGTTAAAGCTAACTAAACTAGGTATCTATTGATTATAAGGTAATTTCTAGAGTGACTTAAAATAAATATGCATTAACAACAGAATAGGGAACTATTCAATAGGACTATGAAGGGAGTCTACGGAGTTGATAGTGTGGCATTGTTACACATACATGGAACAAACTATTCTATTGGTGCGTCGAGTACATACTTACTTCAAGGTATCAATACATAGCTTAACGTATTATGAGTGCTTATATTCATATATATAATTGTATATAAGTAGTAATTGTGCAATTGGTATACAGATTTTTTTGGGCCTTTCATTTTGTTTTTTACTTATAATCTAGAACATTTTACATGTAATTTTTTGTCAAGAAAAATGAAAAGATTTCTCTCGAATCCGATATTTACAATAATAAATAAGTTACATACGTATTATATTTACAAAACAGCAAAAAGTGCGCAAAAAACGATTTCACAAAATATGCATTTGAGCAATACGTTTAATATATTTACAAAAAGCATTTTATACGTAGTATATTTAACAGAAACTACAAATAAAGCGAAAGTAATCTTTTATAAAACATACTATATGTTAAAACAACTATTTAGTTTAAGGTAAGGAGTAGAAATGATAGCGATGACTCGTGTCCTACATTACAGTACGTCACTACGATTACTTATAGTAAAATATTTCTTCCTACAAAATCTTGTACAAATAAGTTATTGCTATCGAGAAAATTATGTACAACATGAAGCTAAATTACGAGTACTTTGAGACATCAAAAGTGAACTGAAGGAAATGAAAACGTTCAATCTCCTAAATATTAAATCTACTTCAAATCAATAACGTTCTAGTATTTGTGTCGCTTAGTTTAATATATCACATTAGATTAGAATCTTGTATACTCATGTCGATTTGATATTTCGTGAACATGGAGATAATTCGTAATGTCCAAAAGGTCGACGAATTTTAACAGTTACCATAGCGACTATCGTTTTTCCAAAATAACATTTAGAAATACATACGTACCTACAAAACCGTGTACCTGTGAGTCAAATGAAATAGCACTATTCAACACAAATAGTTTAATTTCAGTCAGAATTGTCTTGACCTGCGGCAGTATTTAAAGTCCTTGTGTCTTCACTTACTAACGACCTATCGTAACGTCTTTGTCTAGTAATTTTGGGTCTAACTGCACTAAGTAGAGGAGCTGATATCGCGTGGCTGGGTAGTCGGCCTAAGTCCTTCCGACCTTGGAGTAGGGGTGAAGTGACGCTCGATGACTCGTCTCCTTCGTCGTCGGAAAGAGCTGGGTAACTTTCTTTCATTTTCAAGCTGCGCTCTAGCCGTCGGAGAAATCTGGAATGACCTATTTGATTAACAAAAACAGAAAGATCTTGTACTGACGTTTTATCATACTCAGCGTACTGAGAGATGAATAGTATAAAGAGTTTCCTTCAGCAGAGAAGAAATACATAATATTAATACGCACCTTATCTGATTGCTTATCGTCCGCAATTTGTTGACTTTTGGTGGTTTTCTGGAATCCTCCGTTAGATCCAAACTCGAAGATATTTTAGACGACGTGTCCTGAAATATTTAAAATATTTATAAAAAAAATGCGCATGCACTAAGTACATTTTTAAAAACTACTTAAATTACATAAGTACCATGCTTCTATATTATATGTAACAATGAGGAGGTTGCATGAGTGTATCTACACATTCTGATAAATATGTACTAGTCTACTACATTTGAATGGTGAGACCTATGTATAAGTATAAAATGTTTAAAACAACAACAACAATCTTATTTTTTGAATGCATTCTTCTGTACAGGATTACACCAACACATAGATAATTAAAGTAATCAGACACACGGTAGAAACTGACAAAAATACAAAGAAGGCGTTCTGCAAATAACATTGAAAACTGCATGGAATCTCCAAAAGGAACATAAATATTTGGCGACTGTAGCCCTGTACTACAAAATGAACAAGTTAGGTAGTTGCTGCCTTAACAAATCACCTCGGAACTACGGCATTTTTGTCTCCTGAGCGGTTTCCTCAAACGCGTCGGCTCACAAGGCTGAAAATAATCCAACACACATCTACAACCTACCGTCAAATAATTATAAAAAGCTAAAATTATCAAAACATTGAGAAATTAACGATATTTGGTTGAAAGTGACAGTGTACGTAGGATTATAATAAATTGTAAAGAAGGTGCATAAGATAGAAGGTATTGTATGGGATCAGTTTATGCATTTTGTTTAGTTATTTAGTTGAGTGCTTTATTTAATTCATGTGCAGTAGGTATTTAGATATAACATAGATTTAAGAAAAAACATTTAGGTAGTGAGTTAGTCTACAGAGTTACAACACCTTGGTGCGATTAATATTAACAATCCACACATAAAAAATACCTAACAATAAATATTGCGTGTAGTAGAATTCAAGAAAATATGATTTTAATGAAAATAAAAACGATTTCATTGCTTGAATGAAATTAGACATTTTGGAAAACACCAGGTTTCGAAAAGTGCCTGCGACACAATATTTTTCCAATTGTCTTATGTAAAAAATAGTACCTACTCTTCTCTTTTAAGCAAATTGAATCTTACTACACTGATTCTAAGCAAGTCTTCCATCAGAGCAAACGCTTCATACCTGCATGTCCATATCAGGTAACCTCAGTTCCCTGGCGGAGGCCACTGACGCCACGCTGGCGTTGGACACTGAGTCCTCAGACGATGATGATGACGCTGGTGCCGGCGCCTGGGACCGGGACCGACGCCTGCCACCCTTGCGACCACGGGTCGCGCCGTCACGACTGCCTGGCACCTGTTTTATATTGTTATAGTAGTAAGAATTGTAAGTATAGTCTAGTATAAATTCCGTGAATTAAGTGTCATAGCTGTTGAGTGACAAATGTATGCGTTAGTCGGACTGACCTCCAACAGGTTGTGCATGGAGTGCGGCATGTGTGGCAGCGTGGGCTTGTTGTTGCCTGTGACGTCATGCGAGGCGGTGCGCGTGTTCCTGCGGTCGCGCTTCCTGCCACTCTTCTTCTGACAGTTACTGCCTAACTTGTTGTTGGCACCTTTCACACATTCCGAACTCGGAAAGTCGTACAACCCGTCAGAATCTGTAAACGGTAGTTGTCTACCGTAAAATTGTGGAGAAAACCTTCCCAAACCAGTTTTGTCACTTAATGGGCTCTCGCTCCTGGAACTGACTGGGCTCAAGGGCCTACTACCTTCAGTTATTAAAGTGGGAGGCCTCAAACTAGCCTTCTCGTCTAATCCTCTCTCGACACTAACACATTTGACTATTGAACACTTGGTCACTCCGCTAGGGGAGCACAGGGTGGCTTGCGGAATCTCTAAAGTCTCTTTCAGTGCGACTAGTTCCATCTCTTTCGCGCTGGTGGGTACGTCGTCTACTCTCTCGTCTGTACCTATGCCCTCGTCATTAGACTCTAACAGGGGGTCGTCGGATAATGTCTCGGAGTCAGATCGTCCTCGCCTACGTTCCTTACTGTCATCATTAGAAGCTGCAGGGCTGGAGTTAGTTTTCATGAGCGGTCGTCTCCTGGACTGAAAACAGGATGGGCCACCACCAGACCCAGGGTCTTCCATTTCTGAAGGACATAAGGGATTGCTAGAACCACACCTCGAGGGTCCAGGGCTCGCCATAGAGCTGTACCCTGACGAGGATAGGTTCGATTCTGATGGAGCTCGTTCTCCTCTCGCGGACATCGAGAAGGGACTTAGGTAGCACATATTGCCGGACGGTGGGGGCGGTCTAGGGGACATTGGCTCATCGGACTCCTCGCTAGCATTGTAGGTGACGGTAATGAGGGGCGGTGGCTGGAACTCTAAGTGCGGGGGCGTACGACGGGGCGGTGGCGACCCGGGGGACGCGCGCTGCACTTGTAGCACTGGCACGCGCAGCGCCGGCACACCACCGCCCAGCACGCCTGGCAGCACGCCCGGCAGCACGCCAGGGGGCGACGCAGGGCTGTGGGTCAAACTCGGGCTGGCTGATGACGTCATATGTGTCGATGGTGTCGGCGTCGTAGTGGCTGTGTCCGTGCTCAGCAAATTTGGTCGTAGCTGCAAGTATTAATCGTAATTATGTACCAGATATATAACAATAATCGTCCAAAGTGAACGAGAACTCGACCGACCTTCAATCGCAAACCAGAAGTTGGTCTGTCACTCTTCGTTTCGCACTTAATTTCATCGAGCTCATCTTCACTGGGTGACATGACAGTTGCTGTAGACTCGCTCTTAACATCCATTTCAATACTAGCTCGTGGCAGTCTAGGGGACGGTAGAGGGGTGGGTAGGGGTGTCGGGAGGGGGGTAGGTAGTGGTGTAGGGAGCTCTCGTATCGGGGACAAACATTTGTTGATCCCACTCGGTACTTCAAGGAGTATGGACGGTGGATGAAGTAGGTTGCTACCTGATGATGAAGATTTGTGTGCACTTAGAGGGTCCAGAACCTGCAAATGTATAGAACAAAGGTCCATCATGATGGTCGGGATAATGAATCTAATCTTGAAAGTAGCACCGCGGAGTAAGATGAATGATGCATGCTCTCCTACATAACTAGGATAAACATTTAAAGAAACATTGCTAATAAAACACCTCACGATTAATTCTAACATAATAAAAGAATGTTTGAATATTGACCTGGATCTCAATAGTGTTATGTGGCCTGGTGACAGGCGAGTCTGGCGCCAGTGAGGGTATGTGTGAGGATGCTATGGATATGTCGTCCGCGTCCACTGTATCGTCCTGAGGTGATGAAGCTGACGGTGTACTGGACACGGACACTCCTCCGGACGACGCTCGCGACACTATTGCTGCTGATGAGGATGAGAAATTCCGGAACATCGCCAGTATGGAGTCAGCGCTTGAGATTTTTGGCTGTCTGAAAAAATATCAATATTTAATTTTATTTAACATTTACCTTGTCTTTTGTAATTATATATGTTAATTATGTTAATAATGGTAATATAAATAATTGGAACCGACCTCGAATATTTCTTCAATGCAGTGTGCGTCAACGTCAAGTCCAAGCTCGACATCGAGTCACTTCCCTGGTTGCTGGATGTGCTGTGAGGGGATCGTACTTCGACTCCCGGCGAGGGCGGTGTACTCGACGCTTTTGCTTTTATTCCTCTGTCTGATATTACCGCCATAGGAATGGTGATAGTGTTCACCATGTCTACGTCGGAACTAGAGCTCATTTCAGCGGATACTTTGTTCAGTAGTCTTGCAAACGTCACTTTCTTTTCCAGTTTTGGGTCTGAAATGTGCCGCATGGAAGGCGACGTGGACGGCGTAGAAGCTTCACTCGCAAACGAAGTCTCTTTGTTTTCATTTCCATAGTCCATGAATGCGGGCGCACTTTCTACTGTACTCAGCGTCCGTTTCTCAGACATCTGTATCAGATCTCCCATCGTTATCTTCTTTGAATGGTCATTAGTTGTTGCAGGGCTTATAAGTTGTTGCAAAATTTGTTTTTTCTCAGCAGCGTTTTTCTTAGTTGGAGTGGAATTGTTACGTTTTTTACGAGGTGACGGTGTTCCTGTATCAAAAGAATAACTTAAACCAAATTATTGGGTGACCAAAGTTTCATGACAAGCGACGACATCGAATGTTCATGACAGAAGCAACACAATAGTTATAAATTTAATACTGGGGATTGAACAACAACAGTTAGTCTGAGAGATCATCATCATGCCTTAGATCTCAGTGCACACTAAGGAAGCCAATTCTTTAGGGTAGTGCCAATAATCAAAAAATTTAGGAAGTGCCAATATTTTGTATTAGAATTGAGTGTCTTGTGTTGTGTTCATGACAATTTGATGAGTATGGAGATGTTGATCTGTCACGTTGTATAGTTATTGGAACAGAGAAAGCGACATACAAAGCCACAAACAGGAATATAATAACAGTCGTTACAATAGCTATACAATACGAGTTAGTTAGACAGTGTTTTGCCTGGGTAATCATTTAAAAATATTTAAAGAATATTTTAATTAAATATACCAAGTGGCTCCAGTTGTTCTTTAGTTGTGTTTGATCATTTATCATTTATTATGATGTTAGTAAGTATTCGTATGAGGCAAAACAATGTCTGAGTAAAAGAGCATGCTAGCACATTCACATAGAAAAAGAAAGGCCTTTGGATTGTCAATAAAACTGATGAAATTGACCAAAAAACTATTTGAAGTAAATCTATCGGTACAACTAAGAAGGAAGTAATCAATGTTATTGACAAAACAGAGGCCAAGTTAGTTGGACGATCTAAAAAGGTGTCAACGAAGGAAGGAGCGGCTACAATAGAGATGCTGTGTTTGTGCTGTCAGGGGTGCACACATCGACATCGAAAGAAGTAAGAACGAGGGTAGCAGGCCATGTTACATTGGTCTTTGCATTCCACATAGAAATTTCATTCACAGCAGGGACACATCCAGTGCTAACCGTACCGGCCGCCGCGCGCTCCGCAGAATGTAGTGTTTGGGATGTTTGCGACACAACATGATATTCGAAATGGAGTTCGACAACAAGTGTTGATAAAGCCCTGTGTCTGGTAGCTAACAGTTAGGAACTGTATCCGTTTCGTGTAAGTATTGACGTTTTGTGACTCTCAGTAAAGGCAGCATGAAGTATGATCAGGCAAGTCGAGTGGTCACAGATTGAGACAAAAGGCTTTAAGCATTAGTTTTCATGAATTTGTGATCCATTTATTTAAGAATGCATACAGTCTGTCTCTACTCTAGTACATCACAGCTAACAGATATGTCATTGCATTCTATTCAAACAAAACATCTAACATATCAGGAAGAACAGTCTCGTAACATCGCTAACAGTCTCGAGTAACACAGAGATATCAACCGTTACAACCGAATGCAGTCGCAGTCTACATGATCGATGGGAGTATGCAGTGGCAGTGCGGAGCGCGCGGGTCGCGGATCCTAGGAAGACATCGCTCCAGTCCTTACGTCCGGGCGGCGGCTTTAACAGATCGTCCAAGCTAAAGGTGCGCGCGGCTCGCGGGTGTGGCGCGAGCCCCGACACCGACGGCTTGCGGATACCCAGCCGCGTCAGCAGCGTGCGGTGCGGCGCCGCGTCCTGCAGCACGCCCGCTGTGGACAATAGCACGTCACTGCCCGCTGCACCGGCGCCCCCGCCGCGCCCCCGCCCCCTCCGCTACGGCTCCCGCGTGGGCACGGCCGCGTAGCGCCGCCCGCGCCCCCGCGCGCCGCCCGCGGACGCCCGCGCTAGCCCCACACACATAGGATTGCCAGATACGCACACACGGGTAATACAATTTTGATGAGCGTGAACGTTATGTCTACGTCAGTCCTGTCAGTGCGAGTCCACTACTGTACATCATGGTTACACGTCACATTGTCTCGCTGGGATTTAACGTCATATCTCAATTATATTTCTTTAAAGCCGATTGATTACATATTATTATCCGGTAACTTTACAATTTCTGGCAATCCTTTTCGACATAACTATTGACACGATTATTTTAACTTTCCGATCCGCTGTGTGGCTGTTCCAGGACTAATACATAAAATAACTAAACAGACAGACGTTACTTACTGTTTGCAGTGCGAGGATCAAGTTAAAAGAACCGTGATATAACGGACTCCAGAAACCCGAGGAATGCAGCTATCTGGACACTCAACTAATCAATACATGCACCATTGCAGCAAATATATACAATCTATGACATTCAGTTTCTGGAACCGCAACAATAAAACATAGAAAAGAGGATAGTCAAAGAAAAGTAAAAATTACGCAAAACGTGTCCTTACCATCCCAGAGACAGTGCGGTTATTGAGAAAATACATGAGTATAGCGGAAACAATCTGACAAAATGTTGAAACAAAGCGTTATTGTACTGTGAGTCACAAATATACTCTCTTCGGACGGTCAAACTAAGTTACCGTGTATATTAAACTGTGAGAGTGGCAAGCCGAACTGAACGTATATTGAAAGTGTGCGAAAAAAGGTTCTTTTACATTATATTTTTGGGTCAAATATTGGGCCTAAAGATTTGTCCTCCATGAGAGTGGGTGTGGTACTTACGTCTAGCGCATCGGTCAGCCTCCTCGGCCAGCAGCTTCTCGATCTTCTCGGGGAAGTGTCGCTTGGCGCACCAGACCAGGCCTATCATACCCAGCACCACAAACACAGTGATGAGGCCGAGCCAGAACGGTTCCTGGAGCATGCGCTGACCCAAGCTGATGATGTTGGGGGACGGATTTGGGATCTCACATCTAAATGGAGCAGAAGACACTAAATTTAGCCTAATCGAAACAGCAGATACCTTTCACAATTTTTACCAACAGCACCTAAGTGTCTTAAAGTCTGCCGTAATATCATCCTACAGCCAGCGAGGTTTTCGAGACCAATATCCTCTCAGTTGAAAACTTGTTAAATGTTTGAGAGAGTAGTACAGTGAAGCAGTCTGAACGTCAGCTACGGTGCTGATCATGGGTTGAGCAGTGGCAGCCACCCAAACATATTATAATTTGATTCCGATTGGAAGCTCGTATAATTTATAGTTAGTTAGTATAATATTTTGTTGAAAGTAAAGCGTCAGTTGGTAATACAATGGTGGATTTTAAGTCACCTGGTTACTTGAACTTGTAAAGAATTTTTTTAAAGTTATTTCCTTTCGACTACAAATTTATGTTAATAAATCAAAACGTCAACTGGCTATATCTAGGTGGGAAGCTCATCAATTGATGCCCTGAAGTTTCTATGTTAGAGGCAGTCGGAAGAATCTATAACCTATTTAAATGTAGTATCAGCCAACGAATTTACCTTAGCATACTGCGAGTTGATTTATTTTATAATGTACAAAGATCTCGTCAATTATTGGCGCAATTGAAAGCACTAAGTATACCAGTTATCGATTGAGAGGAAGTGACTTACATAAATAAATGCCACAGGCAATTAAAAATGTACTAAAACGAGTGGTATCTCTTGGTTCGCGCTTTCTATCGCCTGGAGAATTTTATTTTTATCGCTGATCTACTGCTAACTACGCCATATGGTCAAAGTCTATAGAGCGAATTTAGTAGGTCGATTACAAGTATACCTCTTGCCCTTCCATGATGGGTTGCACTGACAGAGGAACCCTCCGTCCCGCTCGGTGCAGGCGCCGCGGTTGTTGCACGGCTTGGACGCGCACGGACGCACACGCTCCGCACAGCGCCGCCCGCGCCACCCTCGCGCGCATGCGCACACAAACCCCTCGCCACCAGCACCCGCGCCCCCTGCGCCCCCCGCGCCCTCCGCCACGAGCGTACAGTTCCCATACAGACACGGCGACCGCTCGCACGCCGTCACCAAGCAGAACAAACCTGCACAAACATTCAAATATTGTTACCTCAAGCCCTGCACAAACTAACTTTAGACTTTTGACAGTTCCTGTGGTACTAATGATTGTATTTTTTTTATGGCATAACCCGGTAAACGAGCAGACGGATCACCTGATGGTAAGCAATCGGCGTCGCCCATGGACACCTGGAACACCAGAGGCGTTACAAGTCCGTCACTGGCTTTTTGGGGATTAGGAGTTTGAGGATCGTTGGGGATTCAGGGATTGGGGAGATTGGGGAAGGGGACGGTAATTGGGCCTCCGGTAACCTCACTCACACGACGAAACACAACGCAAGCGTTGCTTCACGTCGGTTTTCTGTGATAGATAGAACTCCATCACGAACCATACTAAAGAGATAATAAGAAATTTGAGTCTGTACGAATTATTATAATGTCCCAACTCCGTGTCTTATTGTCTTACCAGCGTAATATCCTGAACACTGGCAGTAACTTCTTCCATCATCAGTGGCACATCTTCCATCGTGTAGACATGGGTTTGGGTAACAGGACTCCAAGCTCGTCTCCTCAGATATTAGTAGCACTTTGCTGTGGTACTCTGGATCTGAAATAAAGATTGAAGAAATAACATTAGGCACAAAGATAACAATGTAATAAAAAGAAGAGTCTTCTTAAGCACAGATAGATAAGGGTTCATTCTTGCGAATCACACCAAATAAATCGTAGTTAATAGATCTTATTCAAACAAATTGTTTCTCCATAAAACAGTATTTGTCTTAGTTATAGTCAGAGCAAGGCCTATACAGTTCCTTTTTGAGAGGATATTTTTAATTACCCTATTTCTTTTTGATGTATTACTTATTGACTTACCTTTGTTTACCATGAGCGAGACATCCATATTGACGCCCCTGTCCCCCGCGTGTTGAGTGACACTGAGTGAGTGTAAGTACGAGTTGATGACGAGCGGCGCGCGCGGCTCCAGCTTCCTCTTACTCCTATCCACCTCGCACAGAGTCCATTCCGTTCCGTTGTTGTCTGTGTAGCTGTCTTTCACCTGGAATTATTATCAAGGAGTAGTTAACTAAAGTGCTAAATTGATTTAAAAAGAGTTACAGTGTATCATCATCGTCTTAAAATTCATAATCATCAACATTATCACTATGACAGTCACTATCAACATCACGATCATCAAAATCACGACTATCTATTACCATCACCAAGACCACAATCATTACCATCATCAATACTACCATCAACATCACCACTACTATCAGCAGATGCTGTGAGTGTTGGTGATGATGTAGATACATCGTCATCAACACTCTGTCATAATTATTTTATGCACAAATATCGTACCTGTATCCACCCGCTCCCCAGGCCACACGGCCAGGGATCGTCTCCAGTAGCGACGAGTGTTGTGGCCGTGAAGGCCAGTGTGAGTGTGTGTTGGTGTGGCGCCACGAGCCGCGTGCGCAGTGCGGCGCGCGCCGGCGCCAGCTGCGGCCAGTTGGGCGCAGACAGGCGACCGCCCACGCCTGACGCTACTTCCAACACGTGAGACGCGTTCAGGTAGCTAACTGAAAATTATATGACGTAAGGGTTTAGAAGTGGAATTCTGACAAGTACCTTGAAAGTGTCAACATCACGGGAATTTATTGATAGTAAGTGCTTCTATAATAATGTGATTAGATTGAAATTTTATCAATTTCCTCAAGTGATGCATTCTAATGGCTGCTCATTATCTCTTATTTAAATTTAATCACAAAGAAATATCAGACAGACTGCTAGTTCTATTGATGTTTTCATCATATAAGTAGGTACTCACTCGTTTTATAATACGCCAGAAACCCTTGTCCCGTGACATTCTCTCCAGTTTTGAACCTCAGTCGGAGTATTTCGGATTGAGACACGAAGAGGCCATTGGTCAGGATGTTGGGGTTCAGGAACGGCCTGATGGGAGGGTTCTGAGGGTCGATCTGGACGTCAATGAAAGAGTCCTCAGGGATTGAGTCCGTGACATTGATAGGGACGCCCTTTGCAAACACTCCGTAACCAAAGTCGAAGAAACTAATGTTCAGGAAGACTCGTTTGCCTGGAATGAAAGATAATATATTTATAATTGTTCTTCGTGAATAAATTCTTATTAATCTACAAAGAAAATAAAACTCTTCCCTTCGCATGACCCTATAAAATTCGAAAAATGCATTTACAGACATACAATTTTCTATCAGTAACAGAACGCATTTGATTGCTCTGATGATTTTGAACCGTAGAAGTAAAGAAAATAATTCAGGCATAAGGCATCTTTAGGTAAAGATAGTAAGTAAAGCTACAGACCTGTAGGAGCCAGAATATCGATGGTACAATCCAGGTTGGGCAGTAGAAAGTGAGGGTAGTTAGGGCTTTTTAGGACTCCTTCTTTAGATGTGATAGTCTGTGATGGGCAGCCGACCAGCTCCACCGCTCGCCATGTCACTGAGAACCCTGAACCTTGGGTGCTGTGGGTACAATTAATATTTTAATTTAAATAATAAATCTTTTCCAATTCAAGTTGTTTTATTGAAACTTTCGATAATAATGTGAAACCAACCGTTTCAACGTTTTTGTTTTGTTTATTTAATTTATTTAGGGTTTTTGGTTACGATTAACATATCAAACCCATTGTTCCTTATAACTATTAACACATAGTACTTATCCTAGTTGTTTATAAATAATTATAAGGGTCGGTGCTGGGTCTGCGGTACTAGCAAGTAAAACGCTTGTGCTATTTCTGATGCAGGCTCACTTAAAACACTCTGTATGATACCTACGTTCATATTTGCAATGCCATACTTTCTCAGCAACGACTCCCGTTCCACCTTATTCCGGACACATTCCATCAGCAAATGTTGCACATCCTCAATCTTTCCACAAGTCGGACAATTCGGTGTGTCAGAACTATTTACTTGATAATACTGTGTAAAACAACAGACTCACTTGTAATCAGAATGGAAGTACAGCACCGCTCTGTTGGTGGAGGCGACCCAACGTGCTTCTCCAACGGAGCCACAGTATCTTGAAGATTTCATACTCCATGGGTCACGTAGCTAAAATATTGAAATGACATAAGTTGATTATTAATTAAAGATTTCTCAAAATATCTATAAATAAAAATGAATTTCTGTTTGTTAGTCTCGCTAAAACTCGAGAACTGCTAAACCGATTTGGCTAATTTTTTGTCTTGAAATGGTCGTGGAAGTCCAGGGAAGGTTTAAAAGTTGAGAAACGACATTTTATGCGCAACGAAGTTTGCTAGATCAGCTAGTTTTAAATTAATATCTTTATTGTGGATCATAGATTGGTTTGGTATGTTAACATTGATAGATTACGCAGGTGCACAGAATAACAAAGTACATATTTTCCTACACCCACAAAAATTTTAAGTGACTTCCAAAAATGTAACAAGAACACTATTTAGATTTTAATTCATAATAAATACGATCGTTTCTTGTTTCCGGCAAAGCTTCGACGCGAACAATCAGCCGGCATTAAAATTAAATTATAATTTGTACGATGTTTCGGGAATTATTAATTTCCCCAAACGCTACACAGCTTACGGCCGAAGACGCAATAGCTGTTCCTGATGGAATTTTTATTGGATATTTTACCTTTATTCTGAATTTTTAAATTTCATAAATATTTTATGGCATTTAAGGCGCGTTTCGGTAACTTAGCGATTTGAATACATATTACATTCGAGATACAATGTTTCTGAATGTGGTTTTCATATCTATGCTGATAAGGAATCTATTGTAAAAAATAAGCACAAGACCAGCTTGAGCACAATAATAAAGAGCTCACCTCAACAAAATCGTAAAGGCAGTCTTTTTGATATTCCAAATCGATTCTCTGAAAAACAAAAACTAGGCGCGTGTCCTCAGGGCCTACCACGTGTACCCAGAAGTCAAGGTCGTTGTCGTACATGCCAGGATGATTGGGACTTGTTAGCACTCCTAAAACAAATCAAACATTTCATGTTAATACTAGTCCCACGGTGGGCGCCAACTAAATATAATGGCGCCCAGCGTGGGACTAAACTTTTACGAAACGTATGAAGTGAATATAATTGTCTATGGCAGGTTTTATATTTGAATAAAATGTCACCTTTTATTATAATGAGAGTTGTACGTACCAGAAGTTCCTTCAACCGTTCTGTTCTTGACTACGTGCTCTGGGTTGAGACGTCGCTTGCACACGTACCCGCCTGTCATCCCACACTTGTGTAAGGTCCAAAACAAGCCACTAGGTAGAGACGGGATTGGTGAAGACTTCCACTGAAAAAAATATTTCGATGTGTAATTTTTAGGGATGAGCCTATCTGGGTATTTGATTAATTGTTCTTTTTTTGGATGTAATATCTTCTCTCTCATTAGTGGACTAGTTGCAATTGCAAGTGGGAGTCTCAGCTTCATCAAAAGAATGAACACGTCCGAAACAAAGGGATTTTTTTAGGTAATTCTCAACAACAGCAATGTCTAGCCTGGAAATGTAATCGGCAATAGCTACCCTCTCATAACATAACTGGTGGAAAGTGTAGTTTTACAAAGTAACTCACCTGAATGCCCAAACACGCGTCCTCTATTTCCTCGGTGTCATTATAAGGTGGCCAGCCCTGAAACCCTACAGCGCTTCCATCAATCCAGCTCAAGCTTTCATCCTCTTCACCGTCTAAACGGGCTCCCAGCCAGTAGATGGAACCAGCGCTGTAATCGCTGCTTTGTCGGATGCCTGACACTATGAACCGTTCTTCGTCTGCTGAATGGACTGATGATAGATGCATGTTCAGGCCCTCACATACCTTGGATAAACAAAAAGTTAACTAGTCTTTAGTTGTAAGTTAGGATCATATTATTGTGTTAAAGAGTTGGTACTGAGAAGATTTTAAAACCTTATGCAGTATTGTAAATAACCCTAGAAAATTACCTTTAAAAAAACTAACATCAACTCCCTTTATTTTGAAATCGGTTAATATACTAAAACCTAAGTGAAACAAACACTTTTGTGACGTATCAAAATCGGTTCAGCCTATGGCGAGTTAATCGCACACAAACATATATAGATGTCAAATTGAGAAACTTCCTTTTTTTTCTATTTGAAGTCGGGTAATATAATTACACAATCTTTGAGAATTAATTACTTTTTATCAATATACTACATAATTATGGCGAAAGAAATTTTGAACAATTGAATTTTTTTCTACCTGACTTAAAAATAATTAAACTTAAACTGTCAAACACCAAGCGGTCACCGGTGACCGCGACCTATTGTTCTTTAATTGTGTCTATAAAACCGGTACTCGACGAGTTAATACTATAATATTTAGGGCCTTTAACAATAACAGAAGAGGTATAAATACCAAGAGCCGTCGTAATACAAAACGTAATGACGTTGTAAGCGCCGAGGTCGAACAGAAGATTACAACTACCCTACAATTATTTCGAAGAAAATTATAATTTAACAAGTTACAGAAATGGAACAAACGAACAAACTTTGTTTTACTGATTACTTATAAAATGTAATCAATCTCGGGGGAAACTAGTGAACAGCTATGGCCAGTGAATGTTTGAACAATTAAGCAAGGTGGTTCTTGGTGATGGGAGGAAGCACAATCCAATATTAATAGTAATAATCAAGAAAAAATGAGACTTGAGCTAACGAAATTTAAGCTGACAGTTAGGACTACGTATTTTAAGTCGTAGTCCCTACGTATAGAGTATATTTTACTTTAATAATACTTCGCAGTTGATGAAGGAAAACCTAGGGAACTTCAACTATATTAGACATGCAACTTTATTTAATTATGGACCCTTTTATAACACAACCAAGTTATTTTCCAATTTTATACATACAGAGAGACAGAGAGGTCTCTTTACAACGCAGTAGCATCGCCTAAAGGTCGTCGGATTAAGATAATAAATCATTGGGGATTACACGAGAATGGTCCAGTAGGCTTTGCGTCCAGTATTGTTTGGACTGGTAATTGCCTTTCGTTACAAGAATGCCGTAATTTGTAGCGATGGCTATCGATAGCTTTATCGAAGATATTGGCATTTAGGTAGTACCTAACCTTTAACGTCATTAAAGCAGTTGTGAATGAGAGGTGGTGTTCTAAGGGGACGGTGTTATTTTTCTTATAGGTGTTATTATTCCAACTTACCTGTTTTGAAGTCGCCCAGGATGCTTTCGGGTAACCGGAGAACAGGTAGCAGTGCCCATTGAACAGAACTTGCTTCGAGTCCATACAAGATTGCGCTGTGGAACAAATTAAACATTCATTTAATTTTGAAACATGTGAATTAACCGCGTTAAGTAATAGGTGTAGGTAATAAAAACGCTACCACAGGCTACTCATTTTCGCAAGAAACTTTTCACTCTGAATTTAATAAATTCATTACCGCTGTGTGTTTTCTTTTGTTTCCATTGTTCGTACATTTATGAAAATAAATAAATAATGCTGGCACTCGCTTTGTTTAGGCTGCTGAGATTAATTTTGCAATTCAATGCTCATTTTGCAACAGCTTCATTATTTCCTGAGTAGTGGCTTTGTTCCCGTAATTTGTAGAAACCCTCTAATAATGCAATATAAGGTAAGTGACACGGAGAATGACGACATTACTGGGATGTTTTCGTGACGAGCCGGTACCAGGAGGACATGAAATATTTATAAGTTTAGTGATCGGAGCTCGCCGCCGCCGGTTGGCGCGCAATGGACCGAGTAATCTTGTTGGCAGGTGTAATGTGCCACATTTTTGGGGCATTTGTAGCCGTGAAATGTGGGACAGGGGCGAACATTCGCAAGGAATAACTTTATGACTAGTAGTTGCCAAAAATACGAGGAAAGGAAAGACTTTTTGGGTAAGCGACGGTTCTTACTTGTTTTCGCAAAATGCACGAATAGTAAAAACTATCGAAATACAACACACGTTCAAGCTGTGGTTGTGTAAAGCGCGCTGAGTTTGTATTTTCCCGAGACTTTCCAACAAAACGAACAAACAGTTCTTTAAAAACTTTTCTTCGCGAAGAAAAATACGTTCATTAAATATTTATTTTCAAGTGTATCGTGAAACGATGGCATTTTATCTCGTAACGAAAAACGAACAAGAGCTAGTATAAACTGTCGAGACTTAATTAGTACTTTAAGTGTGCTAATAAGTGTTTTTAATTAAAACATGCGCGCGCAATTCTTTCTTTCACTACGCGGCAATAAAATCGTTCAGAGATATTCATTTACTGAATGTGAAGTGGTCACAGAGGCTGTATACCTGTATACGGCGCACCGGGTGCGACAACACGACACGTCATTAACAAATTTTAATAAAGTGTACATTGCAGAGGTGTCGCCAGAAGTCTAACTTCCATCATACATTCTATTCTAAATTGGAGCAGTTGGCTCATAATTTAAGGATCTCTTACTAAAAATCTGTTCAGAATATACGTAACAAAATACAGATGCAAAAACATTAAGATTTGTAGCAACTGTAGTTAAAATGCTGTCGAAATTATCACCAGAGGACTTAGTACGAGTTGTTTTACGTTTAAAGTAATCGAAACGAAACCTCGTCCGGCGCTCTGATTGGTTGGTTCATTGGAGCCGGCCAATCACAGCGCCGAACGCGTACTCGTTACGATTACAAATTCGTACTAAGGCGTCTGGTGTCTTATGCACGTCAAATCCTGGGGCTCTCTGTATGGATCTTTTTTTTTACACAACAGTACAAGTTAGTGAAATTAAGTTATAATATACATACTTATTCAAGATTTCTCCATAATTTAATTTCTTTAGTCTGGACGTTAATCTTTCTTGCCAGACTTTACCGGTCATTGCCTGGCGACTTATGAATTTGTTTGTTTTCAAGGTTTGCAATCTAATATTTGTGAAAGGAACTAATTTATCTAGCTAGCGATATTTCAATATTGACAGTGTATTTCAATTTTAATAAATTGGAATAAATCTTAGTTGCGAGTCAGCAGTTTGGCCGAGAATAAAGAAAATACCTTTTAATTTCATCTGATAGTAAATTATTGTTTTGTTGAATTTAGGGCTGATTTTTTCAACGCCAGATAAATTTTATTAGTCCGATATTTTAAATATTTGACAATTCTACCATACTAAAAACTGTCTAATGCTAATTTTATTATTAAATTGTTTGGTTCGTTGCGTTGGAAAAATTGAGCCTTAGTTAATTAGCTATCGGTGAGGTCAAATGCGTCTAAAATTGTGCCTAAATATTCCAAATCGTAAGTACTTGCACTTAAATGACTTTCAAGATCTTGCTAGATTCGATTGAGTTCTCCAATAGATGAAACTTAATGTTGAAACTTGAAACATTTTTGTTGTGAATCAACGTTTGATGACCTGCTATTACCATACAATTTTAAGTTTTCATTGGGACGCTCCTTTAAATGTGCGGTAAAATGGGAGTATCTCGGGACAGCTTTGTTATGTTAAATTTGTTGTTTCCTGATATCTGAATATTTAATTGAGAATTTGTGGTGAAACACCGCTGATTAATTTTCTTATTGTCACTTTCGTCGCTAGTAGGTCGCCCTACTCCGATCTATCAAGTTTCTTTATTACATTTTCATCTGTATTGTACCTTGTTTTAAAGTCTTAAATCTATTGTATTTGGAGTGTAGGTTGATGTGTTGGTGTCTGCATAAGTACGAGCCTTATTTACTTCTAAGGATTCCAATGAATTTTGTATTGTGTTCGTTTGTAATAAAGTCGAAAATGTACTGAAGGGAGGTAAAAATCGAGTGATGTGCTGAAGTTTGTAGGAGTGTCGTTTCCAGGAATGATGGATCGTCGTTCAAAATAAATATTGTACTGTTACTTAACAAGAGTTTGATTACCATTCTTCAGATTTAATTAAAGTTTGTACCATTCCAAGTTTTATTCCAAAACAAAAACAGTATTTCAATTACACTATTACGAAACTCTTTGAAAGTTAAAATTATAATTTGTGGGGAATTAAAGTACGTAGTACATTTAGGTATAAATAATTGACTTATAGTCTGTTTTGTTTGGTATAATATCGCTTAAATTAGGTTAAGTGTTAATTTTATTAATTGTGAGAGAGCCATGCTTCGGCACTAATGCGCCGGCTCGACAGGACTGATACCACGGCCTCATATAAAACCGACGTGAAACAATGCTTGCGTTGTCTTTCGTCGTGTGAGTTAGGTTAGCGGAGGCTCAATAGCCCCCAGCCCCAATCTCCCCATTCCCTGAATATCTAACAATCCTCAAATTCCTAATCCCCAAATGGCCGGTGACGTTATAATCAGGTGATCCATCTGTCCGATATTTTGGCAATTATTTTGGGTTCATTAGCTCATTTTTGACGGTTGGCGCGGTGGCTGGGCAACTGGCTGCCACGCAACGTGTCGCGGGTTCGATTCCCGCACGGAACAACTCTTTGTCTGATCCACAGATTGTTGTTCCGGGTCTGGGTGTCATGTGTATGTGAACTTGTATATTTGTTTGTAAATGCACCCACAACACAGGAGAAAATCCTAGTGCGGGCCAACGTTATTTAAAAAAAAACTTCATTCAAGAATTTGTACATAGGTTTTTGTATAATAAAAATATGTTAAACAATCGTCGCAAGCAAAATGCAGTCCCATGCACTCAAAGGGCCATCAGAACATCATAGATGGGGCCCAATAGGTGACGCCCGATACGGAGCTTCGGGGATAGGATGGGATCGAGCAGGAGGAGGATGAGAAACGGGACGGTTTTTAATTAGTATGAGTCCGACATTCCCTCTCGCCTCACCCAAGATGGAAGAAGTAATTGGATGAATTTCCTTCCTAAAAAAGCAAAATGCAGTAATACGCGTTTCAACTTTCACAAAGACTATTTTAATGCAGCTCCCTCTTATGTTCTACATAAGCACGTATGCTTCTACCTTCATATCGTGTCAAAGGTGCTCGTTACATCAAATTATGATGAACAGTTCAGCTCTCAGAAAAAAAAGCCTCGACAAAAATGCTCCTCGTTAACTAGTTTCATTCATCCATTCACTCGTTCGCGAACGAATGGAATACCAGCATCGTTATTCAAAAGTTCAGGAAATGTTATGAATTTAGTTCATTTTATGCAGAATAAGATGGACGATGGACTTTTAAATTGCAGCGAGGTATTTTGTAATTTATTGATTTGTTGAAAACTGGTAGTTCTATGTGGCAATTAAGTCAAAAATGGTTCTCATTAAGTATAATGAGAACCTTTTTTGACTTACGACTTACTTACTTCGGACCAGTGGGTCTGAAGTTATTATCTTACTTAATATTATAAATGCTATGTATGTGATAACGTATTAGAATAAGCTATGTTTGTATATATAGAAGTTAACTATGTACGTCTTGTTTTGAAAGAGCGGAGTTTTCTAACACAGGCATATCTCGCTTAAAGGGAGGCTCCAATCACAATTTATAGATTCCGTAATCTGTTTTGGTTCTTGCTGTCCAGAGTTGGAATTATTATAAAACCTTTCCGAATTCTCGATCGGGACTTTAGATTCCTAATCTGACCACAAAACGTCTTGCACAACGCCCATAATAATATACCTACAGTGTTGATACAAGGTTTACAAGTGTTTGTCCAAAGCGAAACATGTCTCGGGGCCCAGTACCAGCGTGCACCAAGCTTTATACCTAACGACATGTTTCACCACGCTTCAACATGTTTCGCCGCGGTGCGCAGTGACGTCAATTTACGCATTGTCAGAGGAAGCAATTTGTTCACCAGCTAGACATGTTGTTTTACTAAATCGAAGGCTTTGTGCCACTGAATAAGGTTTATTTTGGAAAAATGTAACGACATTTCGAGCTTAAAGTTGGCAATGTCACCTTTCATTGTGTTGTAGAGGTCGTGGAAATTTAAAATGTTTGCTGACCTTTTGTCGGTAAGAAGTAAATTACATAATATTCACAGAAGTGAGTGATAAATGTATAATTTATTCCCGTGCCTTCATTGAGATAAATTTAGATTTAGGTGATTAATTATAAAGTAATCTGCTCTCTTCTCTCTCATTAATAAATTCGATTAACGATTCATTACGAAATTTATTCTAAAAAAGAAATTGTTTATAGCGAACGTCTTTAGGCATAAATTATGATAAATTCGTAGGCGCTCCTAAATAAATGTAGCGTGGAGGCTGGAGCTGACTTTATGTCGAATATAATCTCAGTTGATATTATGCGGCTTTGCCTGCAGCTAATACCATTATTGTACAGGATTTTGGCTTCGAGCTTATTACGTGGTCCGCGACCGCTGATTAAGCCCACATAATTTGTCAAAACATAGTGCGCCGCGTACATTGAACAGTGGTTTCGGTACAGTTGCATGCTTGGTTATATCTAACAAGTAATGGAGCGCGTACAGTTTAATATTGTTGTTTAATGCTTGGAGTTATTTTGCTGGGATTTATGAATATGTATACTGTGGCCTATGGCTGTATCTGAAATGGATTTAGAGGATTAACTGCTCTCACAAAATGGTTTTAGGCACAATAAGTGAGTGAAAATTTTTGAAAGAAAATTAATATAACATAACATCGCGCCTTTTATCCTCGAAGGGGTAGGCAGAGGTGCACAATATGGCACTTAATGCCACTGTATACAATGCAACACCCACTTTTCACTATTTATGTTATGAGTCCCATGTAATAGGGGGTGAGCCTATTGCCATATACCGGGCACAATTCCAGACTCCGTGCTACCACTGAGAATTTTTTAAAAACCCCGTAGTACTTTGCCCGACCCGGGAATCGAACCCGAGACCCCTTACCCGGCAGTCGCACTTGCGACCAATCCGCCAACGAGGCAGTGAAAGAAAATTATAGAATAAAAATGCTTGGCTTGGCTGTCAATCCTAGATTTCGGCATGTATTCCAATCCATAGTAGCGTGTCAAGTTTTCTGTTTTAAGTATGTAAATTGTATAAGACAATATTTATGAGTCTCGTGCGCTTACTTTGAACTCAAGTATAGGTATTTTTAGTGTACTGTATATTTTCTGACAAACTATCTATCGTAAGGTAAATTTGATATTTTCAACAAATTAAAAACCAGGTGAAAATCAAATTGAGATTATACAAAATCGAGACATACAGTTTTTGAAACACCTACTGTTCATAGTTCCTAATGAAAACGCTATTGGTTCAGAAGGTACAAAAAGATTCTGTATTGTAAATAGTGTAATTATTTCTTAACAGTTTAAGATCAAGTTGGCAAATGTCCAAGTAGTTAAATTGCTTGTGCCAGTACGTGTCACGAAGAAACAACAAGTTGGTGGCGAGCTAGAGCGAGGCGCACGCGACTCTACAACATCGATCCCCTTGGGAAACTAGCGGAACAGAACAAAAACATCAGAACACAACTGAACGCCATCTTACATAGCCGTGGTTAATTAAAACTAGACTGTGCATTATTCAACTTACCCCATTCTACTCCACAAACTTACACCACCACCCACCCATTCAATAATAGACTTTATGCACTGGCTAATAAGTTTAATTTAACTGCATCACTAACTTTGTAACCATTGTTGTTCGTGTCAGACGAATTTAAACTTTATACGAAGGTGTTAAAGGTGGCTAGGGTGGTTCAATACGTGTTAGTTGGCAACTTTATTTGTCGTATGGACGGTTCGTTCCGTTCCGTTGTCCGTACGGAACAGAGCGAAAAGTTGAAATTGAAAAACGAAATACGCCGACATTTTGTTTTTTACTCGAAGCTGGACTTGCGACCGTGTTCCTAAAGTTCTGATGGAATATTCTTCAGATCTTTGCAGATTGGAGTATGATAATTAGATTTAAAAGAAGTTTCACTGGACTGGGTGCCTCCAGTCTATTTGTTAAGGCGCTAATTTCAAGTTTTCTACCGTATACCAAAGTTTGATATTTAAAAAGTTGTGCAAGCTAGATGGCGCTGCATACCGAACAATGCCGGTGCGACAAGCTTCGTGTTTAATTTTAATAAATTGCCGTATTGTAGCAAGTTGGTAACTTTGGTCATTTCTCTTGTTACGGGAATTTAATAAGCAGTATATTTCATAATAATAGTCCAGAGACTCCCAATTTTGGGTAACAGTTGGACTGTATTTTATTTTGGGTCCGTTCTTTGTTTTGATCTCACTCATTTTGCAATGCATTAACGTTATTACCTAGATAGGCTCTTATTTACAGCTCATTAACTACAAAACATATACTTATGTAGGAATGCTGAAACGCAACTCAATTTTAAGTCGTGCTTAAGTATAGTTCTATCTCTACAAATTCTTTGTAAAATGACAGAGATGGGCACGACTTAAAATTGAGTAACGTTTCAGTATTTCGGCATTAAACAATTCATTGTAAGTATGGTACTCACAATCAGTGACGGTGACTTTAGCTCGGAACCCAGCGTAATGTCGTGAATGGTCGGATCTGAAGCGCAGGCGCAGCACGTTTCCCCGTGATTGGTAGCGCAGTAATTTGAGCTTCCCGCTCCAATCTCCGCACAGACGTCGTGCGCGCGTTGCGTGCGCATCCCTCATCCAACCTGCGCTGATTGCATCCGATTCTGGCAGCTGAGTCTCTGTTTCTTCCCATATCTGTTAAAAAATACATAAAGTGAGATTTTCAGTATTAACATTGGTGCTCAATAGTTTCATTTAGGTCCTTTAAAAGGATTCTTAAAGAAACCCGAGTGGAATATAGGTACAATGTATGTTGCTTGAGGGATTGAAAAAACCTACAGACCTGTCCTCCCGCCAAGGCCAACGATGTATTTGAGTATTCTGGTGTATGGCGTTGATTGCTTACCATCAGATGATCTGTCTGTTTTACCTCCTATTACATAAAAATGTCCTCACCTCAGTATCAGAGCTGAATGCCTCATGATGGTCATGTAACTGCCACTCCTGCGCGTGCTCACTGCTGTTGTCCACACCCTCCTCCGTGATTTCTAGGTAGTCGTAGCTGCAACTGGAAACAAAAAGTCCTTTTGAAGAAACATACTTCACACTTTTTATAAATTAATATCATTTCATTTTTTTATTATTGTTATTTAGTAAGTAGTTCACCGTTGATCTCGTGCGTGACCATAAAGTCGTCAGTATTATCTCTTTTTTTTATGGATAAATGTTAAGTTTAGTTAAGTTTAGATGCTCTCTTTTTCATTTTGATTTGTCTTGTTTAAATTAGTAATTAGGCACATAGATTTAGTTTTAGACCTAAGCTATCGCAATGGAGAAAACTGTAATGATAGTTTTAGGTAAGGTTTTAAATAAATAAATAAATAAAAATAATAATTTCGCATCGCATTACAAAGTGTCTATCAACCATAGTACAGACGCGCATACTTCAGTACTTTGGCCACGTCTCCCGTCGTGATATCAACTCATAGATCGGCTGATCGTTCAGGGGGAAAGTAGAGGGAACCAAATCACGAGGTAGATCACCTATGCGCTGGACTGATCAAGTCAAATCGGCAACGGGAAACCCAGTGTCAGACTACGACAGACATATCATAACATCACGCCTTTTATCCCCGAAGGGGTAGGCAGAGGTTCACATTAAGTCACTGTACAATGTCGCGGAGAACCTAACGGGTAACCGGGGCTCCGGCTCGACGTAGAGGAGGCAGGAGAAGGAACGGGGTGGTTTTTAGTCAGTAAGAGTCTGACACTCCCTTCCGCCTCACCCAGGCGGGAGCAGTAATTCGATGATTTTCCCCCCTTAAAAAAAAAAGTCACTGTACAATGTAACACCCACTTTTCACTATTTATGTTATGAGTCCCATGTAATAGAGGGTGAGCCTATTGCCATATACAGGGCATAATTCCAGACTCCGTGCTACTACTGAGATTTTTTTTAAAACCCAGTACCAGTACCCATACTGTGCCCGACCCGGGAATCGAACCCGAGACCCCTTGCCCGGCAGTCGCACTTGCGACCACTCAGCCTACGAGGCTGCCTATTCTATTCAAGTTTGGAGAAAATAACATTAAAATAACTCAAAATGTATTTAAAGATACCAAAGGTCAAAGTTTAGCTTATCTTTAAAATACTCTCAATGACGTGTCTTTAAAGAACATGTACTTTAAACATTGTATTACATAAAGAAATACTCCTGCGAGCAAGTAATTAGTTTAGAGATTTCATCCAATTGATGGAATGGTATTAAATTCAAAAATAAGAAGAAGTTGTGACTTTAGTTATTTTTCAGAAGCCGGCAGACTAATCAAGATTGAGATTAGGTAAGTACGTAAATAAACTTTTGATATAGAGAGCTTAGATAGACTATAAAAAAATAAATAATTTTTGAAATTTGTCTATGTCGCATATAATAATCATATGTACCTTTTTTTTTGATGACGGGGGGAAACCTTCAAAAGGCATAATATAATAAATATAATAAACATACCTAATTCACAAATATGAAAGGAGTAAGGTAAAACATATATAACTACATAAATTTTTACAACTTAAAATTAACTACAACTAAAATAATTTAATTAAACGAAAGTAAAAAAAAAACAACAAAAATTATACCCTTAATTTAGGCGTCATAGTATAGATAGTATAGTTTCCCCTGTGATAGTGATGCGGACGAAACATACTTAAATATTTCATGATTACGAAATATGCATGTTTACATAAGAATAATTTTAAAACCATTTATGTTTTCAGGTTAGTTTTAATTTAAATTGACTTGTTAATTAAGACTACAACTTGAAATAAAACCTCTTTTAAAATAATATTTCGTTGTAATATCAAAATTATTTCCAGTACACAAACAGAGCAATTCGCGCTAAAAGGTAGAATTAATAAAAGGCTTAAAATATTACAGCATTATATCATTTTACGTACAGTCGACAGAAGTGAAGTACTCGTGTAAACTTGGCTTATTTCATAGCGTTGTACGATGATTCAAAATTAGGCTGTATCATCAGGAATTATGGTACGAATTTCATTGAAAACATCACTGATACTTACGACATTAGCTTGAATTAATGGCTGTTGATATGAAAGTAACTATAATCTATGGCTAAACCAAAACAAGATGTCGTCGGCTGACACATAGACAAATGTCAGACATAAGTTCCCTCTTAAGATACCATAAATGTTAAATTTTGCCCATAACTCATGTATTACGGGTGCCTAATGGCGGCAGTTACAGACGGCTGGCCGATAATAGGCTCTTACGTAATTCCAGTTACGTGAATGTTGTTCCCATGAAAATATCAATTAACGAGCTTTTACGAGGAATTATAGGAGGACTATTGTGGAGGAGTTACTTTTAGAAATTGTAAGTTCAAGGGATGGTATTTATGTAATGGTTTTGGATTGAAGTTGGGAGTGTTATGTAAGTAAATTGATCTTATAACTATGTTTATTATACTTGGTATGTATTCAAATGAGACGTTTACTTATTTATCATTTCATGTACATCACACAGCAGACAATATTACAGAGGACAACACATTACAAGCATGAGCTACCTACATGAGGTACATACGTACTGTATATCCCTTAAGGGGTTTCTTCCTGCAGTTCTGCGCCAGGGAAAGGAATATAGACATTAAGCACAGTGTACAGGTTACATGCAATGAAGACGAAAACATAACTGAAAGAAACTTTAAAACTAAAATGACGTTGTCGAAAGAGTCGTTGCAAAAGACGTTGTATTTTAGATACCCTGTAAGTAGTTGCTTGTATTAAACAGTCAAACACCGCGAGGACACCGGTGACTGCAACCTATTGTTCTTTAATTGTGTCTATAATGACGGTACTCAAAGGGTTAAGACGACGACCTTGTCGGATTAGATACTAATGCTCATTAAAAAAAATTGAGTCGACTAAAATTAGTTTTTATCGAATAAGGCGGTGAACAAGCTGATGGATCACCAGCATGGTAAGCAATCAGTGTCGCCGGCCTTTTGGGATTAAGAATTTGAAAATTGTTGGGGATTGGGGAGATTGTGGAGGGGGTAATTAGGCCTCCGGTAACTTCACTCACACGCCGAAACACAACGCAAGAGTTGTTTCACTTCGGTTTTCTGCGAGGTCGTGGTATCACTGGTCGAGCCGGCCCATTCGTGCCGAAGCATGGCTCTCCCACACTTACTTAATCTATCGCGTAACGAGCTCATTATTTGAATTTATATTCGATACTTACTTAATAGCTCCATTACATTATTTTTATAAGGAATCAACAATATATTGTCGAATCTATCTACAAACTTTTACCCATCTATTTAGATGATAAATCAGAGACCGTTTTTGCAATTATATTTGCAACCAGTACTGACTTATATCTATGTTATACAAAATACATTAATTTCAATATAATCCGCTATGAACGACCGGCTGAACCGTGCCTCCAACAGACTAGAAAATATTATAAATGTATTTCAATTTTATGCCAGAGTTTTGGTTAGCCACAAATAAATGTAATAAAACCATTCTCGTATGAATTACACTGATGTATTTAGGATTATATAGTTTAATTTTAGATTTATATACTTAGTTGTTTGACATAACTACATACACAAGTCAACTCTTTGTCTATAGGGGTAAACTGAATCTACGCTAAAGTGCCAGTTACTATGATTATACTATGATTGTACTTTTATCTCATGTCATTTTTCGACTAATTCTCGGTTGGTATGGTTATCAATAATGGCACATAATCTTGGTGTGTGTAGCTTATTGTAACAACGTACTTACTTACGTATAACTTGGCCACAAACTTATATTATTTCACAATTCACATGGGATATCAAGTAAGAAGAATTCACAATATAACCTACAAAAACAGTGTCTTACATAATCAACTATGAATCCAGTATTTTTCTCAGAAATCTTCGATACCCTAAACTTGAAGAACCTAATAAAAGTTGGAACGTCTTGGGAATCAAACTGATACATCTTCAGTTAAAGAATCCAAACATAAAATGCACTTTTGTCTTTACGAGAGACAAATAACGAAAAAGGAAAACAAAATAAAAGTGGCTATAACTAGCAGTAACCAGTTTGAACCCGTTATTTTATTCGCCGCGAAATAAAGCCGAAGATGGCCGACAATGGCCGAAGTTAGCATAAAATAAACAGTTTAAGCTCATCGCATATATCATGGGTCTACTAGATAGGAAATGCTGAGTCCACATTCTCGTGAATCTGATGCCGGGCTCAATGTTAGGCGATACGGCGAGGGTGGCGACATCTGCCGGTTTGCAGCCGATATAAATCTTTATTTCTCCATTTGCGATTCCGTCTATAGTGCGCGGTTTTCTTATTGTATATTTTCTGTGTAGTGTTCATACTTGAAAAAGTATTCATGAAAGTTTATGATGGAAATCTTTTTAGATGTACTTCTGTCTTACTTTTCTTAAGTTTTTAACGTCTTGATTAGATTAACAAAATCGGTAATAAATGTCTAATTATCATCCCTTCAATCTTAGTAGCACCTAAATAGTTCATCCGACCTCAACACATTATAGAAACAAGATGGAGTGACCCCAAACACGTGGAAACTTTGCAAACAGAAGATTACCGTCTTCATACCGTGTACCAACATAACAAGCAGAGATAATATTCCACAATGCTGCCAACATGACGCGCACGTGTCGAGGCATGCAAATGATAAAATGGAGGTACACATCAAAAATGCATTTGTGGTGCGACAGCGTTGTGAAATACATAAAATATTATAATGTATGAAGCAAGTAAATAATTAAAGAAGTACACATACAGAATGCATTGCTTTTTGGTATGAAGGTACGAAAGAAATATTAAAAACTACTTCTTTGTTATATCTATGGTCTATGATACGAAGAATGACTCAGAACAGAGACCATTGGTTGGCTACTGACCTGATCAATCGAAACACAAGACATTATAATGACTTCATTAAAAATTATAGTAATTTGAGTGCTCGATTGGCGTGGAAACCGGCTGCCGCGCAACGTGTAGCGGGTTCG